TTAGGTTGTATATGCATGCCTTATCGAGGTCCCATATGGACGAGTCTCAACATGCATGAAATGTGCAACATCTTTTGCCTGCCTAATCTTTCCCAATATCTGATAGATTTTTTAGTAAAAGAAATTGGAGAAAACGTTAGAGGAGAGAGCAGGGGAAGACAAAAAGGTGTGTTGTATTACTTGGGTATCTCAGAAGACAACAACTTACAGTCTTAAGAAAGGAATATAACCACGTAGAAAATTCTAGAGCAACATTAAATGCGAAATGGGAAACAGCCTGGACAGCATAACAAAAGTTCAACTATTACATTAATTGAAAATTCTCAAAATTAATTTTTAACACTCCCCTTTAATTTTGAGAAATCAAGCACTCCCAGCTTCTCTCAAAAGTAAATAAACTTCTCTGTTGGAATTGACTTGGTGAAGATATCAGCCACTTGGTCACTTGTTCTGCAGAAGGCTAACTCAATTTCTTCTTTGTTAACCAACTCTCTGATGAAGTGGTGTCTTAATTCAATATGCTTTGAATGACTGTGAAAAACAGGATTCTTGGTCATTGCTATAGCAGACATATTATCACAGAAAAGCACAGTTGAACCAACTTGATCTTGTTCCATATCTTTGAGAATTCTTCTGAGCCATACTACTTCACACGCTGCTCCACAGTGAAATATATTCAGCTTCAGCCAAGGACAAGGCAATGGTACTTTGCTTCTTTGATGACTAGGAAATGGGCTTTGTTCCCAAAAAGAAAACATAGCCAGATGTACTTTTCCGATCATCTATCGAACCAGCCCATTCACTATCAGAAAATCCAATCAGTTTGCTATCTTCTTCAGCTTGGAATAAAACACCATAGTGCTTGGTTCCTTGCACATATCTCAAAATACGTTTAGCTGCAGCAAAATGAAGTTTGCTAGGCTCACTCATAAATCTTGAAACAACACTTACAGAATAAACAAGATCAGGCCTTGTATTTGTGAGATAAATGAGTGATCCAACTAGCTTCTGATATATAGTCTCATCAACCTTCTCTTTGCCATCATTCTTTGAAAGTTTTTCATTAACTGCCATAGGAGTAGGAGAAGCTTTGCAGCAAGTCATGTTGAACTTCTTCAATAAATCAGCAGCATATTTTTCTTGAGAGACAAAGATTCTGCCATGTTCTTGCTTCACTTGCATTCCCAAAAAATATCTCATAAGCCCAAGGTCTGTCATCTCAAATTTGCTCATCATAGCTCTCTTGAAATCTTCAATCATCATAAGATTACTGCCCATATAAATCAAGTCATCCACATAAAGGCAAGTTATAAGAAAATCGTTTGTACCTTGTGTCTTCACATACAGTGAAGGCTCACTTGGACTTCTTTGAAAACCATGTATCTGAAAATAATTATCAATCTTGCCGTTCCATGCCCTTGGTGCCTGCGTTAATCCATAAAGAGCCTTTTAGAGTCGATACACCTTGTTTCCTTGCCTATTTATCACATATCCTGGTGGTTGCTCAACATAAACCTCTTCTTCAATTTCTCCATTCAAAAAGGCCGACTTCACATATAGTTGATAAACCGGTAACTTGAGTTGAGCTGCAAGAGCCAAGAAAGTTCGAATAGTTTCCATACGAGCAACTGGTGCGAAGGTCTCACTGAAATCAATTCCCGGTTGTTAAGAATATCCCTTGGCCACAAGACGTGCTTTATGGTTCTGGACAGAACCATCTTCATTGAACTTTGTCTTGAAAACCCATTTTAAGCCAATAACATCTTTAGAAGGTGGCTTTTCAACAAGCTGCCATCTGTTGTTCTTCTCAATCATCTTCATTTCTTCATTCATAGCTTGCACCCAAACTTCTTCTCTGGCAGCCTCCTCATAGTTTTGTGGCTCACTAGCAGCAAATACAACATCACACGATTCATAAATTTCTCTCAAAGAACGTAAGTTTCTTGGAGGAGAGTCCGAAGTTGATGAAACGGATAATCTTTGAGTTTGTGATGGTGGAGAACTTAGACTTGCTGACAAATTTTCTTGACTAGGTGAAGTCAATTAATTCACTTCACTAGTCACAAATGGTGTTGTATGAGAATCCCGCCCTTCATTATTCCATTCCCAAGCCTTTTCTTAATCAAAAATCACATCTCTAGAGACTACCAACTCTCAAGCATTAGGATTGTATAGCTGATAACCTTTTGAGTGATCACTAAATCCAATAAAGATGCATTTCTCTCCCTTCTCGTCAAATTTTTCTCTGTTTTGAGGAAGAACGAGATGGTACGCAACACAACCAAAGATCTTAAGATGGTCAACCTTTGGTTTTCGACGGAACCATGCTTCATAGGGAGTCATATTTTGGACAGCCTTTGTTGGTGGTCTGTTTAGAAGATATATGGCTGTATTAACAGCCTCTGTCCAGTAAGTGTTTGGCAAACCTTTAGCTTTCAACATGCTTCTAGCAACTTCCACAATGCTTCGATTTTTCCGCTCCGCAATGCCATTTTGTTGCGGACTTTGTCGAACTGTTAGTTGCCTCTTTATGCCCTCTTCTTTGCAGTAATTCCAAAAGGACTTGGAAATAAATTCTCCTCCGCGGTCAGTTCTCAAGCTTTTCATGACATGCCCACTTTCTCTTTCTACATGAGCCATAAATTGAAGAAACATAGAGAAAGCTTGAGACTTTTGTTCAAGAAAATAAACCCACATCATCCGCGAATAATCATCGACAAAGAGAAGAAAATATCTTCTATTGTTCAAAGAAGGTGTCCTGGTAGGACCACATATATCAGCATGTATTAATTCAAGCGGAGCTGAAGCTCTGCAAGAAGTTTTAGAAAAGGCAATATGTGCATTTTACCATAAACACAACCTTCACAAATTCTCCCCTTTATGTCAATAGATGGTAGCCCAATCACCATATCCTGTCTTCTCAATAACTTTCAACTTTCAGAATTTAAATGCCCATATCTCATGTGCCACAGCATGGATTCATCTATATCTTCAGATTTCAAGACAAGATTTTCGTTATGTGTCATAGAGAATGGAAATACTCTATTGGAGGCCATAGATACTGTAGTTATTATTTGATTCCTTTTCTTGTCAATTATTGTGCATTTATCTCTATCAAATGTGAGCATATATCCCTTTTCTATTAACTGACCCACGCTTAACAAGTTTTGAGATAAAGAATGAACATACAGCACATCTTTAATTAGTTTAGAAGTACCTCCCTTTGTTTCCACAGTGATGTCTCCTTTGCCTTCCACTTCCACGTACTTCCCATCTCCAAGCTTCACTTTGGATTTGAATGAATCATCCAAGTAGACAAAGCTGGACTTTATCCTCGTCATATGGCGACTACACCCGCTGTCAAGATACCACACCCGCTGTCAAGATACCAAGTGTCTTGTTCTTCTTGAGTATTCATGCAGGAGTAAAATAGTTGTTCAGAAGATTCGTCACTCTCCACAAAGTTGGCTTCATTCTTCTGTCTCTTTGGGCAATTTATAACCAGGTGGTCTGAATCATTGCAGTTGTATTGTCTAAACCAGCAATCTTTGCTTTCATGGTTGCTCTTTTTACATATATGACACCGAGCAGAATTTTTGTTGCCGCCTTTTAAAGTGGACTGCCCTTGCTGATTTTTCTTCCAGTTGCCTCTTGCTTTGCCTTTTGGTTTGAAATTCCGATTCTGGTCATTGGGTCTTCTCTTTCTTTCTTCATTCTTCTTGTCTGCAACGTTCAACTGTGATTGGAAGGCTTGCTCCAATGGTGGTTCGGTAAATCTGGCCATTCTTTTCTCATGGGCTTCAAGAGAACCCATTAACTCATACACGGTGTATGTAGACAAATCTTTTGACTCCTCAATCGTTGGAACAACATGCTCAAATTTCTGAGTCAACCTTCTCAGAATTTTCTGCACAATCTTCTCCTCTTGTATCACATCACCACAACTTCTGATCAAATTGACTATCTCAGAAACCCTTGAGAAGATATCTCGTACATTTTCAGTGTCTTTCATGGTCAGATTATCAAAATCTGTCCATAAAGTTTGAAGTTTGATGGCAATGACTTTGCCTGAGCCTTGAAAACCTTTTTGTAAAATTTTCCAAGCTTCTTTTGCCCTTTTAACGCCAAAATTTTTGGGAAATATAGTTTTGCTCACCCCTTGTTGTATGTACCGTAAGGCACTAGCATCCCTTTTCACGTTCTCCTTGTATTGTTTTTGTTGGGTCTCTGTCCAAGATGAAGCAGCTTGCCCTTTTGCTGGCTCTTCATAGCTTTCTTCAATCACATCCCATAGATCTTGTGAAATGAAGAATGTCTCCATCTGACTGCACCAATAGTCGTAGTGCTCTCCATCGAAAATGGGAACTTGACTTGGAGAGTATTGGAACAGAGTATTTAGGTTTGTCGCCATTTGGTAGCAAGACAAAGAGATATAACCCAGGAAAATAGAAATTGTGCTCTGATACCACTGATAGATTTTTTAGTAAAATAAATTGGAGAAAACGTTAGAGGAGAGAGCAGGGGAAGACAAAAAGGTGTGTTGTATTACTTGGGCATCTCAGAAGACAACAACTTACAGTCTTAAGAAAGGAATACAACCACGTAGAAAATTCTAGAGTAACATTAAATGCGAAATGGGAAACAGCCTGGACATCATAACAAAAGTTCAACTATTACATTAATTGAAAAATCTCAAAATTAATTTTTAACAATATCATGGAGAAGAAAGACTCGTAATAACTCCTAGCAATTGCTAAAAGCGTTACTCTTTGCTTTGGCTACCAAGCGATGCCAATTTCAGCCGAAAAGCAACATATATAGCCCCAAAAGTAAAATGATAAACTAAAGAATGAATAATATAGTAGAAATCAAGATGATTTGACTTGTTAAGGAACCAAGTGAAATAGTGGCTTATTTATCAAGGAGGCATAATCAAGTTTGTGATCCGAAATAGTAGGCATGCAATTCTCTAAACGCCTCCAAAGAAATCTGCGCCAAATATGGCTGAGACCAAATCTCACCTCCTCGTTCCAATCCTCCTCCTAGTGTTGCTGCAAATTGCAGAGGCGAAAACTCCTCCGGGAATCGCCAAGAACCCGAGCCATGCGACCTGCAAGATAAAGAAATATAAGCATTGCTACAATTTGGAGCATGTTTGCCCCAAGTTTTGCCCTAACCAGTGCACGGTGGAATGTGCCTCTTGCAAACCCATTTGTGTTGGAGCCTCGAGCCCTCCTCCGACTGATTCGAGTACTCCTTATTCACAAACACCTACCACTCCTTCTACGCCTTCGCATTCGTCTCCAACGCCGTATACACCATCTCCATCAAAACCTCCTAGCACTACCCCAACAACTCCTTCAAAGCCTCCTAGCACCACTCCAACACCACCATCAACACCTTCTCCAACACCATCTACCCCATCACCATTAACACCTCCTATCACTACCCCGACAGCGTCTTATACTCCAACACCATCAACTCCTTCTCCAACATCACCATCACCCTCAACACCTTCCACACCATCACCAACAACACCCTCTCTAAAACCGCCTAGCACTACTCCATCATTGCCTCCAACACGATCTGGTACACCTCCCAGCACTACTCCCTCATCACCAACACCATATCCAACGCCTTCTACCCCATCACCCTCAACACCTCCTAGCACTACTCTAACATCACCGTCACCATCAACACCTTCAACACCATCACCATCTACTCCAACTTCTCCGAGCACTACTCCCTCATCACCAACACCTTCAACACCATATCCAACGCCTTCTACCCCATCACTCTCAACACCTCCTAGCAGCATTACTCCAACATTGCCGCCACCATCAACACCTTCGACACCATCACCATCTACTCCAACGCCTTCAACCAGTACTACTCCATCCTCCTCTTCTCCAACGACGCCTCCAACATCTCCGACGCCATCCTCACCAACATCTCCTTCCTATCCTTCACCATCTCCGCCTACTCCCTCGCCTACTCCCGATCATTCTTCTTCTTCAGGAGCCAGAAAAGCTAGGTGCAGAAACAGGAATTATCCCAAGTGTTACAACACGGAACATGTATGTCCAAGCACTTGCCCTGGTGGCTGTGAGATTGATTGTGAGACCTGCAACCCAGTCTGCAGTAAGTCCCTCCCAACCCAATTCTTCTTTTTATCCTTTTAAAGGCCTTCGTTATATACCCTTTGCAGCCTATAAAATTTGTACTACAAAAAGTGCTAAATATTGTTGTTACAAACTACTATACAAAATTATACGTTTTAGAAGGTAGTGTGATCATATTACATTCAAAGAGTGATGAGCATCATGGTGCTTAATTAAAAGTGCCCCACTTAACTTTAAGAAATTTGATTTTTTATCCTTAAATTTTTAGTTGTGCCATGTCATTATACAATAAAAATTATCTTCAAATTTTTTATATAGTGCCTTTACAGAAAATATTTTCTAACTCCGTCATTGTATTTGATATAGCATCGTTGCTTAGTAGAGTAGTATTTGTAGCCTTTCACTAGCTTATAACTAATTAAGTACTATAATGCATATTTGTGAACTACTGTAGAGTGTGATCAGCCAGGAACAGTGTGCCAAGATCCTCGCTTCATAGGCGGCGACGGCATCACCTTTTACTTCCACGGCAAGAAAGACCACTCCTTCTGCCTCTTCTCCGACCCCAATCTCCACATCAACGCCCACTTCATCGGCAAGCGAAACCCGAACATGAGGAGGGACTTCACTTGGGTCCAGTCCATCGGAATCCTCTTCGGCAACCACAAACTCTTCCTAGGCGCCCTAAAAACCGCCGCGTGGGACGATTCGGTCGACCGCCTTGCCATTGCCTTCGACGGCGAATCGATCAGCCTGCCCCAATCTGAAGGCGCCAGCTGGCAATCCAAGAGCGTTCCAAGTGTTTCTTTCGTAAGAGTTTCCGGCGCAAACAGCGTCGTGGTCGAGGTGGAAGCAACCTTTCGGATAACCGCAAAGGTTATCCCCATAACCGAAGAAGACTCTCGGATTCACAACTATGGCATCGTCACCGAAGAGGATTCGTTCGCTCATCTTGATCTCCGGTTCAAGTTCTTCTCGTTGAGTGACCAAGTGAGTGGCGTGTTGGGCCAAACGTACAGACTGGATTACGTGAGCCGTGTGAATATTGGGGCGAAAATGCCAGTCATGGGAGGCGATAGGGAGTTTAAAAGTTCGAGTTTGTTTGCTTCGGATTGTGCTGTTGCGAGGTTTGAAGATGTTGTTGGCAATGGTGATATTGGAGATTCTTTGGAGCTTCCGAGCTTGAGCTGTTCTAGTGGTTTGGATGGCCAAGGGGTTGTCCGCAAAAAAGGAGTTTTTTTTTTCTGTCTCCTATATATATATATATATATATGAATATCAATATTCTCAAAATGAAGAAAAGGAATACTATTTTTTTTTTAATGAATAAAAGTTGTAATAAGATCTTGGAAGTCAAGAAGACTGTCCAATTATTGTAATTTGTTTTGCTGAAGATGTTCATTTGTGAATTGGCATATGAATAATAATGGAGAAATTTTCAATTTTAACCAAAAAAATTTTTTTAACTCTATTATTTATGTAACTACACAAAATTTTGATGTTATTACGAAAAATAACTTACATGTTATGAAAAAATAACATGCATGTTACAAAGAATAACTTACAGGTTATAAAAGATAAAATGCAGGTTATGAAAAATAACCTACTAATTACAAAAGATAACATGCAAATTATAAAAAAATAATTTGTATATTATTATTTACGTGAGATAAATTTACAACAGTAGCATAAATAAGAAAGTATTACTTTAATGATAGCATTTTCAGATTTCTCTCGTAATTGTAAATATACTTAAGCTTTTCAATTATTTGTGTTCATTGATCTGCTAGGATTTAACCTTGATGGATGGCCGTGATTCAATTGAACAAAATAAGCTCCAAAAAGCAGACTGAAATTTTAAAAATGAGAGTCAGTCCTTGTCGTATAACAATAATCTGTTTTATCATTGAAGAAATATTATGTATATCATCATAAATTTTACCAATATTGCAAGGATATGGTAACTAAATGTTAAATTATTGATAAAGTCCTTTATTTCTGTCCTTTTTTGGTAGATTAACACTCTTGTATAACCAATGACAGAGTCCGAATTTATCAGCAGGAGATCAAAAAAAATTTTTTAATCAACATTATACTAATGTTTGTGGATTTAATAAAATTGAATATTTTATTTTTAAAAATTTAAATAGTTAGCCCAATAAAATGTAAAGAACTATTAATTTAAAGGCACTATGTCTAATTTATACACATACATACTATTTTAAAATTAAAACCACTATATTAAAAAAAAAAAAAAACTAGTGGGCCCGGCCTCCTGTCTCCATCATTGTGTATAACCAGCAATTCAGATTATATATTCGCTACTCATAGCATTAACTAATTTCTGATCGCCCCCAACACTTTCGTACAGATTGTCTTTGGTTTCATTTTTGTTTTTTTTTTTTTGAAACTGTCTTTGGTTTCATTTTTATGAAGCCTGCGTCTACTGCAAATTAGATATATTAGGAGCCGACTTTTTTTCAATGCTTATTCGATCTATTCCGTTTTTTGCTTATTTCATGTGTTCATAATTAAATTGCAGAAATTAGCAGCAGTTACCGGCGATCTGCGCTAACGGTTCCCTGTATTGTTGCGAGGACAATTCGATGAATATTTTACACTAATTTCTTGAACTCAAATCCTATATTAAAATTTGACGTCTTTGTCACATCATTAACAGTTTTAAACTGCTCAATTAGTGTTTTGTTTTTACGTCGTACTCATTATTACCTTTACTAAACAAAAATACAGACATAAACTAGTTGATTATGTTTAATGAGAAATCACTTAATTGTGGCTCATTGCCATGGGAATACAAAGTTAATTACACGTTTTTGGTCACATCAATCATACGAGTAGGAAGTATATAACACAGCAAAGATGTTGCTAAAACACTAGAAATAGAAATAGCATTGATCACTTCACAAAAACGAGACAATAATGTTATCCAAGAACACAATTAGCCATCTAATTAACTACAACTACATAATAATAATAATATGTTATCAGATACCCATTCGGTTTTCATCTCCCCCCAACCTAAAAGATCGAGGTACCGCCATTACAAAAGACTTGATCCATATTAGAAAAATCACGACCATTAGTACCATACAAACCACCAACATATGGGAATGAGACACAGTCATGACTCGCCATTCCAACATGGTTACTACCGATCAAATAATTTTGGTAATGAGTGAAGTCCCAGAAACAATTCTCCATTGATTCCTGAACATAAGTACCAGAAGTAGTATCAGTACTTTTAATGTTGCCTTCTTCTCCCGAATAGTGGTGGTACGCAAACTTCTTCTCCGACAAATACGACATGTCGTTTGGTGGACCCATCACGGAAAGAGGACGAACATCAACATTAAACAAGCCATGATGATCCGCAGAAGTAGCATAATTATAATTAATAGTACTAGGGCTTCGCATAAACCTGTTTCTAACATTTTCAAGCAGCGCCAAGTACTTCTGCTTCAAGAACTCCAACTCCTCCACAGTCTTGCACGCCTCCCACTCTCTCTCAACCCACGCCATCAAGTTCTTCAGCGAACAACCCTCGCTATTCTGCGCCTGCTTTATCCTCGCCTTAAGCCCTTCAATTTGTCGCACCTGGTCCCGGGGTTTGTCGGTCAGGCCGCCGTTATTACCGATCACGAAAGGGTAATTCGGAATCATTTGTCGGAGGGAGTAGCACTGGAGAACTTCTTCGACGGTAGTGTGGCCGAAAGCGGAAGGGTTTCCGGTCGGAGAGAGGACGAGGACGGCGACCTGGGCTCCGTATTTTGCGCACAACGTGCCGGCCTTATTGAAAAGGCCTTTGCGTCTCTTTGAGAAAGTGACGTAGAGATTGTTGGACACTTCTTGTTTTGGAGTTGTTCTCTTTAACTCCATCAAATTATCCCGGCTTCTCTTCGGCATTGTTAATGGCTTCTTTCTTTCTTTGGTTTGAGCAAATATTGAGCCCTAGTTACCTTTTTCTTGCCGCTGGTTTCCTATTTATAGCCAAAATAAGAAGCGAATTGAACGAACAAAGGAGGCACAACCGAAACCCTACATCAAGCTTCCATATGTGTTCACTTGCCAAAATTTTAGCATATTTTGTGTCGGAAAATTGGGGAAAGAATCATAGGCGAAAGTGTGAACACACCTGTTTTTCTAATATTCCTTCCACTCGATTGGTGGAATCTCTCACCCACATTTATTACTCTAACTGTCTATAATCTTTTTTATTGTTTCCTTTATATATATATATATATATATAAGTAAAATATGATCGTCTCTTCTATTCTAAAAAAAAATAAAAAAATAAAAAATAAAATGGTAGGATCGTCTCTTACTCTCCCAAAATCGCTTCTAAAAAGGTAAAGCTTAATAAAGTCAGCATTGCTAGGGGTTCCACAATCCACCGGATTGTGTTTTGTGAAGCTCCACGACTTTTATGTAAAGGGTTAATTAAGCAATAACCAATTATACCTTCTAGTGTTAGTTTTTTTCACAATTTATCTAGTGCTAGGGTTAATTAATATCCTCGTGTATGTTATGCATGAAAAAAAGGGAAAAAAATAAAATACCCTTATGTAGCTGAATTTATTTCTCTAACAATCTTACGGAAATCTCTACAACATATATTTGGAACAGTTAGAAAAAAAAAACGTGAAATTTAAAATCTTTTTTTTTTAATTTCATATTCTGTCTTAGAATTTTTAATGTTCTTTAAATGTTCCAAATATGTTTCATAAACTATTCTAGGGGCATTTTTAATTTTTTGTCCCATTTTTTAATGCATAAAAGGTGTGAGAGTTGGAAGCGAATTAAGTTTTTTTAAATATAAATGATATCTTTTTAATACATAATAATAAAGGGATGAATTAAGGAAAAAATAAAACTAGAGCGTATAATTGTGTAATTAGCCCATAGTAAAAATTACACGTGACAATGTGTATAAGAGCGAAATTGAATATAGTAAAATTAGATGTTTGATTGTATACCTAGTAATAATTACACACAGGAGTCGAGCTTAATTATGTGTAAAGTTTAAGGGTATTTTACACATTTACCTCTTAAATTTAAATGGTTTAAGCAACTTGCTTCCCAAACTTTTAATTTTAGTAAGTGTCCCCTCAATTTATAAAATTGTTCTAATATGTCATATTTTGACAATGATTGAGTTAAATTAGTGTTGAAAAACTACGTTTGATGAAAAATTTAGACATTCCAATTCAAATGTAACACAAATCTTTCAGTTTCTCAATTTTTAATTTCTTAAACCCAATAAAAAAATTGAGAAAATTTACTAAAATGGGTCGCATTACAACATTTTTGCAAGTTCGGAAATTAATTTTCTTAATTAAAAGTTCTGTTAAACCACGACAAGTTCAGAGACAATTATGCTAAAATCTCAAAGTTTAAATCTAATCCCCAAATTATAAATAAATAGGTGTAATAAATAACATAGTAATAATAATAATAATATTTTTCATGTTTTATGCTACAAAATTATATAACAATTATTATCATAATTTTTATTTTTTTCTATTCATAAAATATTTTATTTTTTTATATGTCAACATTGCTATAAGATTATTCTATATATCTAACTACCCATCATGCAAACGCGACATGGCCGGTGTTCGAATGAGGATAAATTGTTAATGGTTATTACATGAATTAAAATGAAAATTCTACAGCTTAGTATGAAAAAATATGGTTCTCTTTTGCACTATAGAATTTATACCAAACTCTGTAAATCCTAAAAACTTTGATTTTTCAAATTTTGATTGTTGAGGGCTCTCAATTAGAATTTTGCATCTAAAATTTGGCGATTATCAATTTATTACCACATCACCAAAAATACAGAGCAATGCTGCCCTAAAAAATTAAAAATATTTGGGAATTTGGGACTTGTCGATAACGAATCAGTAGCTGCCACGTAATCCAGGGAAGAGCCAAAACCCTCTTTTGGTTTTTATCACTCTCTCTCCACTGAGAAGGCGTAAACCTTCTCTTTCGCTCTTCAGAACACAGAGAGAGAGAGAGAGAGAGAGAGAGAGAATTGACGCCATTGAAACCCTAGAAAGCAGAAATGGAAGGAAAATCGTACCAGAGGTTCCCGAAGGTGAAGATCCGAGAGATGAAGGATGACTACTTGAAGTTCGAGCTGCGAGACACGGACGCCAGCATGGCCAACGCTCTGCGCCGCGTGATGATCGCGGAGGTTCCGACGATCGCCATTGATTTGGTCGAAATTGAAGTCAACTCCTCCGTTCTCAACGACGAGTTCATCGCCCATCGCCTCGGCCTTATCCCGCTAACCAGCGACCGCGCCATGTCCATGCGCTTCTCCCGTGACTGCGACGCCTGCGACGGCGACGGCCAGTGCGAGTTCTGCTCCGTTGAGTTCCTCCTCCGCGCCAAGTGCATCTCCGACCAAACCCTCGACGTCACCAGCAAGGACCTCTACACCGCCGACCACACCGTCGTCCCCATCGACTTCTCTGACCCCGCCGGCGATGAATCCGGCGACCAGAGGTAATTCTTCTCTCTTTCTCTTTATTTATGTTCCGGACATTTAGTGTAAGGCTATTTTTTTCGTTGTTCCTAAATGTAAGCCAAGCCCTAAATATTGGAAATGTGATTGTTTGGAAACAAATGTATTTTCGCCAAATAGAATTATGTGAGCTAAAATGTGGATGTTTTGCTGATTAAATCAGATATGAGACTATAAATCTCCTAAATTTACCTACTAAGATGTTAGCAATTCGATTATGAGGAGATAATTATTCTTCCGTTTTGGACATTCTTTTCTGTTCTGTGTGTGTGTGTGTGTGTGTTTAGTGTTGGAATTGAAATGACATTTGGTGAACTCTAAATTGAAGTGCTTTGCATTGAAGATGACTTGGGAGTTAGCAATAGGATTTAAAGAGATAATTGTCTTCTATTGTTACAGAGCTTCCTTAAAATCCTTTTTTCTCGTTGTGAAATGCTAATCCTAATATTTGGAATTCATAATGTGAATGTTGTTCGCTGTGTGATAGTTTTGAAATGTATTGTTGTCTTATATTGTTTAAAAGAAAAAAGAACTTTGCTTGATAAGATTTCTGTGTATTTAAATTGGAATTTCCTTGTGGATTGATTAAATACAGAAATTATGGGCTTAGAATCTCTTAAATAATTACATCACGTGTAAAGGTGTCTTAGAAGTAGTAATTTTGATTTATGGTTGATGAAGAAATAATCATTATTCTCCTTTGAATTCACTATTTTTGTGATTAAAGGGGGATTATCATTGTGAAATTACGACGCGGACAAGAACTGAGGTTGAGAGCCATAGCCAGAAAAGGGATTGGCAAGGATCATGCCAAGTGGTCTCCTGCAGCAACTGTCACTTTTATGTATGAACCAGACATTCGAATCAATGAAGAGCTGATGGAGACTTTGTCACTGGAGGAGAAAAGAAGTTGGGTTGAAAGTAGTCCTACCAAAGTGTTTGATATTGATGAAGAAACCCATCAGGTTCTTTGTTCTTTGTCCTTTTTATCTTCCAGTGTTATCTATAGTCATGGCAATCATATTATCTATCTTGATTAATGATTGGCTAGTAAAATGAATTGTACCAGCATTATGGAAAACTGGCCTGGATTTATCGTATAAAAATCCACTTGCTTGAGGGCTTTTGGTGTGGAGTGGGTATGTGACTCCTTAAAGGGTCATCTTTTTGCTTCTTATAGGTCTTAACTCTTAACTTTACTAACAAGGGGAAGGCATGTGGGCCAGATGATAGTCCAATGGAGGTTTGGATGGCATTAGGAGATGTTTTGTGTGGTTCATTAAGCTTTTTAATGAGATACTAAAGAAGAAGCATATGCCTGATGCATGGAGAAAAAGTATTATTGTCCCCATCTTCAAGAATAAAGGAGATGTGCTGAATTGTAACAATTATAGCGGCATAAAGTTAATAAGCCACGCTATGAAACTTTTGGAGAGAGTTATTGAAAGGAGATTAAGGGCCACAGCTACCATATCGGGTAACCAATTTGGCTTCATGCCAGGCAAATCAACTACGGAAGCCATTTTTCTTCTTAGGATGCTGATGGAAAGGTACAGAGAAACCAATACGGACCTATATATTGTCTTTATAGATTTAGAAAAGGCATATGATAGGGTGCCGAGAGAAGTTTTATGGTGGGTGCTAGAAAAGAAAGGAGTGCATGTGAGGTATATCAAGGTAATTAAGGACATGTACGATGGGGTGGTCACAAGTGTGAGAACTGTTGGAGGCTACACGGCAAAGTTTCCCATTTGGGTCGACCTTCATCAAAGATCTGCTCTTAGTCCTTATCGTTTCACCATCATGGTGGATGAGCTAACAAGATAAATCCAAGATAGAGTTTCTTGGTGTATACTTTTTGCGGACGATATAGTTTTAGTTAATGAACATAGAGGAGTTAACCGTAAGTTAGAACTGAGGAGACAGACTCTCGAGACGAAGGGATTTAAGTTAAGTAGGACGAAGACTGAATACATGCATTGTAGGTTTAGTAACTCAAATAATCAAAGTGATTGAATTTATTTAGATGGTGTGGAGATTGAGGCTTCTAGGAAGTTTAGGTACCTTGAGTCTATAGTGCAGTATGAAGATATAGAAGAGGATATTCAACATAAGATTAAGGTAGGGTGGGTTAAGTGGAAGAATGCTACGGGAGTTTTATGTGATGACAAGATGCCTATTAAGTTGAAAGGAAAGTTCTATAGGACTGTCCGTCTAGCTATGTTATATGGTAGTGAACGTTGGGCCATGAAGAGACAACATATATCTAAGATGAGTGTGGTAGAAATGCGTATGTTAAAATGGATGAGTGACCATACGAGAATGGATCATATAAGGAATAAAGTTATTCATAGTAAAGTAGGTGTGGCACCAATAGAAGATAAGGTGCGCGAAGGTCGCTAGAGGTGGTATGAGCATGTCCAACGTAGACCGCTAGAAGCACCAGTTCGTGCTTGAGAGGATATTCTTATACCTAATATTAGGAGAGGGAGGGGTAGACCAAGAATTACGTGGACCAAAGTAGTTAAGAAAGACATTCTAGATCTAGGCCTTCAGGAAAGTTTAATTTCAAACAAAGCTGCGTGAAAAAGTGAAATTTATATAGTCGACTCCAATTAAGTTGGGATTAAGGCTTGTTGTTGTTGTTGTTGTTGTTGTTATTGTTGTGTAGGAAAAGGCAATAGAAGAAGAAAGTGAACATAGATAGTTCTTGGACTTGTGGGGATAAATGTCCGTAGGGGGAGAAAGGGCATAGGCATGTGAGTGTGAGACATGTATTTAGGCATCTTATGGGCGAATCTGAAACATGGGTATATTATTGTTAATAAGATCAGGAAATTTTTAACGACAAATTCTGATTTTTGAAGTCCTGTGGAGGTTTATGAACTGCAGTAAGTAGTATAGATGCTTTTAAGTTCTGTTTTCTGGGTTGCCAAATTTTCTCAATTCTTCGTTTCTGTTTGCTTTCTGTCTCTTTCTTTCTTTCTCTCTCTCTTGAAAAGGGATAAATTGTGATGACTTTATTGTTCTATGAGTCATCATGTATAGTCGTTTATTTGTTCAATTGTATAATTATTGTTTAGGTTTATGTATGTGATGCTGAGGCATACACCTACGATGATGAAGCGATCAAGAAAGCTGAAGCCGTGGGGAAACCTGGGCTTGTCGATATCACTGCAAAAGAAGACAGCTTTATTTTCACCGTGGAGTCAACTGGTGCAATTAAAGCTTCTCAATTGGTGCTCAATGCCATAGAAATCCTAAAACAAAAGTTGGATGCTGTGCGCCCCTCAGAGGATACAGAAGAAGCGGATGATCAGTTTGGTGAATTAGGTGCACATATGCGCGGAGGATGAACCGGGTCATCCAGGTGGTTCCAAGCTCTTAATTGACCTGTGTAGGTTTCTGGTTAATCAACTAACTTCTGTTGGCTTTGTGGGGACTTGTTTATATGCTTCATCAACTGCAGTATACTTATTTGCTGTACTGTGGATGTTTATCCTTTTTCTGCAAGTCAAATATGGTTCTATTTGGAACTTTCCATCTCACTTTTTGATGTAACACATGTGGGCAATGACTCGACACATTCCATGGTTTGCATCTATATGGATGTCAAGCCTTTAGTTGTTTTTAATCTAGGCTTTTTACATGTTTATATTCCATATGCCTTCTCTAATCTGCATACATGCATTTGACAACTGAAGACTTCACTGGCAGGTAACTAATTTCATTAAAAAAAAAAAAAAAAGTTAAAGTTCACTATTTCATGAAATTCGTCTTTGATTTCTAAAAACCCAAAAAAAAAAAAAAAATCCCTAAATGCTTTCTTTGAGAAAGATTACCCCTTCTCGTATCCCCTTTTTCCCATAAAAAAAACAAAACGCTTTAACAACAGTACCAAATAAGATCTTAAGAGCATCTTCAATGCAAAAGGCAAATTAGTATGCTAATGAGAAGGTTTAGGATTCGATGGTGTTAAATTTGGCATTGATATAGCATGTCAAATTTTGACATTTAACTGCTGTTTGGTTGATGTATGTTCTTGTACTCTATAGTAGAAGTCTTATTATTTCATAGAAGTCAGACACAATTAGAACCTAAGAGACATGAAGAAAACAACTCAAAAATAGAACGAATATGTTTTAAGAAACGAGGATGAAACTCGTTTTACCTTTTTAGACATGTAATAGGTCTCCCATACGTCATGAAGCCATTAGCGGCAAACTTGTGACTGTCTCCCACTACAGCTGTTAAAAAAATAAAATAAAATAAAATAACTGAAATATCAAGCAAAACTGGATGATCCGACCGAAAGAGTCACTTCATTATCCAAAAGAGAAAAGTTTGCGAGCGTAAAGACTCCCCTACTTACCATAAAGATACTTTTGTGTAATTTTTGAGTTTCAAAAAAGTGTTAAAACTTTAATAAAGCAAACTTGCAGCAAGAGAAAAGAGAGAAGTTCTTCCCTTAACCACTATTTAAATGTACTAGTTTACATTCACCTTGGCTTGTTTTGAATGACCTTTTTACTTTGGGCTAGTTTAAAAGTTTAACCATGATTTTCTCTAACTTTATTATTTATGTCACTCTATAATTTTAATATCATTACTGAAAATAATTGCAAAATACAAGTGATAACATGCAGGTTACGAAAAATAACCTACAGATTACAAAAAATAACCTGTAAGTTACGAAAAAATAACTTACAAGTTATTAATGATTTAAGATAAATTGAACAGCAATATCAAAAATAAAATATTATTATTTTATCCTGACATTTTTAAAAATTTCCCAATATTTAATTCAATGGTGCTTACATGATCCAAAGACCATTTGGGCTTTAGCCGAGAGTACTAGTGGCTTTTGGATATGGAAAAAGGGCTTTGTGAAGGAACAAAAGGTAATTTTTAAAACGGAAATGGTAGAAAATAGGCCAATATAAAAAGTTTAAGAAAGTATATAGGTCAATTTTTAGTTATAAAAATTAATAGGTCATAATTTGTCAAGTTATGGTTTATAACCAGATAAGTTATGGACAAATTTGTCAAGTTATGATTCGTAGCCAGACAAGTTAAGGACAAAAACTGTAAATTATGGACAATAACTTGTCAAGTTATGGTTCATAACCAGACAAGTTATGGACGAAAACAGTAATTTAGCCTATTTATTAACTTATATAAAGTATTGACCTATTAATTTTAATTCATGTCAAGTCTTGACATATTTCCCTCTTTCTCCCTTTTTAAAAATATCCTTGAAATGAAGGTCACTTTTAGTTTGATGTCTATCTCAGTGAGTATCCCTTACTATTAATTCATATATTTATATCTTTTAGATTTAAATTGGTTAAGGGATAAAGTTTTTTAAAATTAATATTTTTAATAAGTTATGTACTTAAAAAAATAAATAGAATGTGTAATTTTCTCTTAAAAACAAAACTTTGAGAGAAGTTGGTCTATGAAATTCGGCAAGAGGCCCAATGATTTTAAAGTGGGGAAAGCTACTCCTTTCGCTAAAGCCTAAAGGGAAGCAACAATAATAAATTTCATTTTCTGTTTTCTTTTTTTAATTTTTTTTTTTATGGAGACTGATAAAACTTCGGACTCTGCAAGCTCAATTTTGGTGTTTCCATTGGCTATATTTTAGCCCTACATTCTACAACTCAGTTGAGATTTGTCATTTAATTTACAGTTCTATTCTTAGTTTATAAAGCTTCTAAATTGTTTTTTTTTTTTTTAAGAATTAGACACCTTAATTCTAATTACCATGAATAATAAAATCGCAATAAAAGAAATCAAGTATAATTGACACATAAAATTTATAGAGGTTCGCTAAATTGAGACCACGTCCTCTTTTAGTCACTATAGTATTTGCACTATAATCAAAAAGTTATAAGAGAAAAATCACACACATCTCAACTATTTGTGTTTGTTCTCCACCTTTTCTAATTTTCACAAAAAAACAGCACCCCCTTTTATAACGAAACTAGGCAACCGAATTTTACAAGTGTAAAATTTCCAAACTCCACTAACATCTTTGAATCTATGTTATCCTCTACGTAAGACAATTAATTAAGCTCCACAACTAAATATTTTGAGCGAAAGACTACCAAAACTTCTCACGTTGCTTTGTAAAACTGTGATATTGTTACCTTAACTTTAATTTCCCAAACTACAAAACATAATATATATGTGTTATTATTTCTAAGTGAGAGATCCAATGTATACAAATTAACTACTTTTTTTTCAATGAACAATAAAAAAGAATTGAAAAACTGAACGTGGATTACTACATTTTTGGCCCTTTAGAAGTACGAAAGTTAATAATTCCATACAAGAAACTGTAAGACTTCCTTACAAATTACATCTTTTTTGCTCAGGCTCAGACTTTGATCAAAACTCAGGTGGGTCAGTGCATGGTGTACTATGAATGTAGTCACGGGTTTCCCTTCTTTGTAGGACCAAAATGTTGGTCGTTTATAATATATAGATCTCCGGTACATCAACATATTGATAAGTCATGTTTTATATCCGTCAGATTTACAAAAAATTATGTAAAAATAAAAAATGTAAGCAAATTTAACGGTTAGAAAATCCGGTCTATTAATACACCAGGCGTACCAAAAATCTCCCTATAATATAATGTCAATATATATATATATATATATATACACACTTTGTGTTGTTTTTTTTTTTTTTTTTCTGGTTCTTTGTTGTTTGCTTGGTACCATGAGATTAGTATCTAGAAGTTAACTCGTAAGAAATTTTCCTAGAAAATATTTATGTTAAACAAATATCTGGTTTTTACCATTCTCAAAACTACACATGATTTCTTAGTCATTATACTCTACATCTTTGTTTGTTTTAACCCGGAGATGTTTTCAGCCATTAAGAATGAAAAATGGGCAGTAAAATACATTTTGCTGTTTAGGCCATTTAGTTTTTGGTAATATAGAGGAAAATATTTTAAAATTTCATAGATTGAAAATTTAATAAATTTATTGGTAGCAAAAATTTGATAGATAACTTGATTTGTCTAGCATTCTTAAAAGATTATCTTAATTCTTAGCTATAGAATTACGTGCTCAATACTTACAACTATGAAATAACAAACTACAAATTCTTCATCATTATTTATTGAATGTTTCCTCTAGAGTAAAGCGTCAAATAGGTACGGAGGGAAAACAAGAACCCAACAATTTAATGAGACAATAATTCTTATCAAAAGTCAACCCTACATTATGAAAGTCCACGTAAATGTTGCAGATGTCATTTTGACTTACCCTTATTAATAATTTTTTTCGGCTGTTTTTTTTAAGAATAACTCTAGTACCATTAAGCTATCACCTTAGTGATTTAGCAAAAATAAGAATAAGAATAGATAAATAAATAAATAATGGTGATTTAGCCAAAATAAAATAATAGATAAATAAATAAATTATTTATCTTTGCTGTCTAAGAAATTTCTCCTCACCTCTTTTTCCTCATTTAATGCCCGTTAACCTAGATGTTGGACCAAAAACAAAGTCTGTAGCTATGTTTTTCGCTATCAATTTATTCCGTGTGGACCCAAACTTGCCCATATTAACAACTAGTGGGCCTTATATAAGACAAAGAGAAGATATATATACGAGTAAATGAAGAATTTCGTAGGAGATATGAAGCCATGTAATTTTGACGTACATAACTATATATATACTATCAAAAGAGTATTACGACAAATTTATCCGCTAAATAAGGGAATTTTTATGGTAAAACATGTCCTTTATTAATAAGTATGGTTTTTAATTGTCAGATTAAATTTTTACAGTTTAATTTATGAGTGTCCACGTTAAAAATTTACAACACACGAGATCATGCAGTTGAAAACTTAATAGCAACTATTACTGGTAGTTAAAAAAGACGAGTCATACTTCAGAAATTCCTCTACATAAATACACAAGATCGTCTCAAGATTGAATTTTGAGTGTTTCTTTTTTCTTTTCTTTTTTTTTTTTGGGTAAATTTTTTAGTTGTTACATTTTGTCACCTAATTGCTCCAAAAAAAAAAAAAAAATCTACAGCCCCTAATTAAGAAAAATGTTTATCCAAGATAAGGATTGGGTGATCTATTGCCTGTGAAAAGATACCCAAATCTTTGTCTGAGAAGCCAGACATACTTGCAGTATGGCGGCCAAGTTTCTCTGATTTGGGACATGCCATGCCTGAATGCACCTAAAACTGCTCTTGTCCTTTTCTTCTGTCTCTCTAAAGGGACTCTTGAGACCAAAAGGGTGACTCCATTTGGCTTCTTACCCATTAATTTCTTCGTTCTTCTTTCTTCTTAACGGAGAGATATATATAATACCAATACCATATATATACAACATTGATTTAGTTAGAGGCCCATTTACCCCTTCAATTAATTCACTTGTGGACCACAAAGACATAACGGAGTCTCTTTGCCATAAATTCCATAAATAATGAATGCTACTTTTCCGATCTCCTTTAACATTTTCCCTTCCATGCACGACACATTATTATACTACAGTTATATATATAAATAGTTATGTCGATCTCATTGAATAGGAAGATAATATTAAAGGTTTTCCAGTTTATTTATTTTATTAAAGTAGTGAGCTTTTATGAACTTCC